CCTCGTAGTCTGGTTTTTGCACGTCCAGTTTTCGAAATACCCTGTCCATAGCAAAATGTTAAGGCACAAACAATTTCACAACGGTTGGGTCACTCTTTGGAGTCTCGAACTGCAGTGCGTGACAAATTTACACGTGTCATTTTCTTTGGATTTGAAGTACGCTTTTTCTTTCGTCGGGTACGAGTGCTTTCGAGCGACACGCAAAAAGAGAAGCTTTACTTCTCGTGTCTTCACTCTCTTTCCCATCCCCCCTCCCCCCTTTTTGCTAAGCTCTTGTTATGCAGGCTAGTTTTCTTCTGTTATATTAATTTTCTTGCCTGGCCAGGATTGTTTTCCACGCCTCTCGCCAGACTTTTTTAACGCTCTGCACTGTAACGCAGGCTCGCCATCCAAACTGCGGCTGTTTGCTGTGCATTTGGTCAAAGTCGCTTGAACGAAGTCATCACGACTATTATTTTAAAGTTATCTGTACCTCTAATTGTGATCATGTTCACAATTGCAAAAGGCAAAAGACTCAAGTTAACTTCTGCCGTTATCTTTCATCTTAAGGGCCTTCGATGACGATAAATCTGATTGGATGGATCAAGAATTATAATCGTAAAACAGAACACTTTCAATGTCGTACTTGATCAAGCTCTCGATCTAACTTTCTTTGGTTTTACAAAGTATTCCGGCATCTTTTTATCTGGATTCATCGCTTCACACGCAACGACTTTTTCTATCTTTCTTTAAGCAATGGATGTTGAAACCACAGAGCTTAAGACAAGTGAATCACAAACCGTTTAATCTTTGACTTTCTCCGGATATGTTGTATGAATATGTATAGATATACACAACCCTCACTTTCAGCTTTCAAAACCACATCAGGCAGTATTTTCAGTAAAAATTTGAATAAAAAACCCTGATTAACTTGAGTGATTTTTGTATTTTTAATAGCGCATGTTTCATCTACAAACAGGATTTAATCTGCTTAAAAATTCCTGCGCTGCACTTCTAAAAATTTATTACAAAGCGCGTAAAACTATCTTACATTTCTTTTCACTTCCTTAAAAATGGTGTCAGTGCGCTACAAATTACTATACTTTAACTAATCTCCTCGCGTACATTATGCTGGACATGCTTTTCAGTAACCTTTTCACTGTTGTTTCATTTACACAAACTGATAAATAGAGGCCAAATTTGGCTGATATTCTGTCTCGCCCAACAAGGTCACAGAATCTTAACTTTGCGACTAGTTCCTCTAGGTGAATCTATAGTACCATGACAAAAAACTACTGCTCTGACAACGAACGTAGAAAAAACATCACTGCTTCCAGTCTAATTCACTGTGTTTGGAGTAGCACGGAGACAGTGAGAGCAAACAGGAAACCTTCCCAGTTAATCCTAAAGCATTTTTATTAAGAAAGACGCTGCAGTGTTATTTACCGAGCACGTCATAAATAATTAGTTAAAAAAAGTATACAACGGTTTCTGTAAGTGCCATCGCGAAAAGCCAAGTTCTTCGTGTCAGGTCACACAAATCTGTTATAGCTCTTCAGTGGCGTTGATGTAACTTGCGTCGAAGTTGTTCAAATCAATCGAGATCTGTAAAAGAATGAAAAAAAAAAAAGGAAACCTCAGTGAAGAAAACTACACTAACATACTGTTCATTTCTTTTCTTTTTACACAAGGTAGCCCAAGAATAAAGAACACGTTTTACCAAAATTATAAATTTCAATTTTTATTTGTATCACTTTTCATATTTTTTTACTTAACATGTCGACAGAAAAATTCAGCTGCCACTCACATAGCCTTGACATTTCGTCATTCATCGTAGTACCAAGAGCACTACAAGAGAGTGTGGAGTGGGTTTTATGCCAACCAGATATCAGCAAGAGAATTATAACATTATTTCTCATAGAGAAAGATGTTTCTACGTCTTGTTACGAGTACGGCACTAAACCTGGGGTTTGAATTCTCAGGCGAACAAGATACTTTTCTCTTCTTTTGTTCAACCATTGTTAAAGATTTTGAGGCATTTTTGTTCCAAAATGCCATGCTACGGATCTTTCCCATCCACTTTCATCATTGACAAATCTATTGAATGATAGCATTTATTTTGGAACTCACCCTTTCCGCAGTCATTAGTCTGTGTAGAGTTTTTCCGATTTCCAGGAAAGTTGGTCTGGCCTCTGGCTCTTGCTGCCAGCACTGCCACATGATGGCATATCTACAACAGAAAGAACATCTATGGTCTAGTAAAATCGTAAGGTTTACATCTGAGAACATAACGAAAAGTAAGAAAAAAAGAAAGTTAAAAACCAGACGACGCATTTAAGTTCAACGCTGACAGCCTAATTAACAAATGGTAAACACCACAGCGTACACTATTGAGTTATGGATGTACACGGGAGGTTGCTAAGCACGAAAGAAGCGTCCATTTGTTTTATAACATAACATTGATGCATTGTAGAAAAAGAGTTCCCTTTTATTTAACTGTGAAATCTTACGTGACCAGAAGAAACATATGCGCGGAAGTTAGTCATTGTATTTGCTCTCGTCAGCAGCGCACACCCGTGGGCAAATGGTGGACACTGAATTGACCAATCAGAGCGCGCACTTTACTTTGGTTATGTTATAATAAGGTTTGGCATTCTTTGCTGAAGAATGTGCAAACAAGCTTCGCGAAAAAAGATCGACCCGGTGTGAGCTAAATCGCTAATATTACAAATCTTAAGATCTCGCTGTACTTCAAGAAAATTTCTGAGAAGACAAAGGTATTTGGGCCGATGTAAATGATAGAAATCCTTTCCTTTGTTTAAAAAATCCATAATATTAAGTCTTTGTAACAGGTTATGAACAGCTGCATACCGTCCCTGAGGCAACAGTTTAAGCTTAGAACAATTTTTAGCGACAAAACTACTCACACTTCATCAGAACAGTACTGAGGTTTGGGCATCCTGTAACCAATATGCAGTTGACCGATGACTTGATCTCTGTTCATACCAGGGTAAGGATTAGCACCTGAGATAAAAACAAAACCACCTTTATGAAAATGAAATAAAGGATATAGCAGATTGCTTAACACAGGGAAAGTTAAGGCTAAAAACACTCAAACTAGTGGACTAAAGATCGACGTCAGACTGACTCGAGCCTCTTAATATCATAGCTACTAAATTAAAATCGTGTTATCAAATTCTTTTGCGCGAGCGTTCTTTTCGTCCACACTGTGCACGCAGATGACGAGCGTGCATGCATCGAAGCAAAGCAAATTTCTCGTTCTGTGAAATTGAAAACCACTGCCCTGAAATTGTTAGAAATGAGTTGGTTCTTGTGTTAGCTGTGCGTCCATCGAGTTAAGAAGCACGCGGGAAGTTTGAAGATAACTCAAGCAGCTACAGTTGCTCTCGGCCACGTATGGACAACTTCCGAGCTCCTTAACTCGATGAACGCACGCTGACGCGGAATTGGTGAAATGGGAATGAGACCCTTACCTAGAGTGACAATCTCCCACAGAAGTATACCATATGACCAACTGTAAGAAAACAGAAATGATTAAAAAATAATGGTACCCGACTCGCTGTAAGTAAGCACAAAAAAATGAGCCATAGTTATGATATGGTTATTAGGAAACAGCGGATTTCTCTAAACAACGTTAAGCTATTCTGTAGTTCAGCTTAAACAAAAGTTCTAATCTGGATTTCAAATGATAGTAAATTTGCAACTTTCGACATTTTTGAAATAAAATTAAATTTTTTTGAAGATTTCGGTCTTCTACGATCTAACTATCACATAATCAACACACGAGAATTACGTAATCACTTACACGTCACTCTTTGTGGTTGTGATTCCCTGAAATATTGACTCTAACGCCATCCAGCGAAGAGGTAATTCTCCCTAATAATGAAAAAAAATCAATTACTTCGCCATGTCAGATGAATACGAAAATCAAGGAATTCAAAGAATACTGACGTCAACAGCTCTACAACACGGTCACTTACAAAAGTAACAAAACACATTCAGCTCAAATTCTATTTTTTGTTTTGCGGTTACTGAGGTTGCTAGGCTACAGACCATTATAGCCAATAACCTCGGTCAGACGTTCCGAACTCAAATCATTCGGGACTTTAAGCAGTCAGGACGGCAACGCCACGGAAGACGTCGATTAAAAAACGAGTTTCTACTTTTAGTTAGAATTTCCAAAATGGCTGCATGAGTTTACCGTATCATAGGGCTCCAGACTTCAAACTCAACATAACGCATAAAAGTAGCGTTGAGTTCCAAATGTAAATTAAAATAATTTGCCGGCGCGGTTTCGCTTCGCAGACGACGTAAATTTTGATGATTTCACGTTGTTGTTTTGCAAAGGACGGCTACGAAATGTACAAAGTTTTAAAACGCACGTGCTGGGCTATTGTTCTGCCAATTAGATCTATTGTTTTTCCACGTTCTCGTCACCGTCGCCGTCGTGGTTTGCTTAAAGTCCCTATTAGTTGAGCACTGGTGAGCCTCATAACGCTTATCAGCCCGAGGGTGATATGACGGTACCCTATTCACATGATACCCACCAGGTGGCTCTTTTAAATAAAGAAATTTCTTGTACGACAATGAGATAATCATATTATAACTGCGATCTGTACTCAAAATTTATATTTATTTTGAATATTCTAAAAGAGCCATGCGAGAACTTTCGACGTGCAAGAATCATGTTTGGTGTGGGTAATTGAGAAATAAAAAAAAATTACGAATGAATCCAGCGTTTAGAGAATAAAAAAAAAATGCTTTGAATATAAAAATCAATGCTAGTATGAAGTGTTAAACTGATTTTTTTTTTGAAAAGACTGCTTCATCATTTGATAAGTTCAACTGCTACCACCCTCGCTAAGTGTGGACCAATCCCTCCTTTCATATCAGATGATAGAAACAAAAATATGTTTTATCAAATCTGATTTCATTGATTAAAATTTACTAAAAATCATTCATTTTACTCAAGCATTAACGACCAACTTGCCTCTCCTAATTTGAGGTATTGTTTCTTCTCGTAAATATCTCTGGCCAAACCAAAATCAGCAATCTTACAAATATGTCCTTTATCGACCAGAATGTTCCTAGCAGCTAAGTCCCTGTGAACAAGCTACAAAACAAATCATAACAAGTTCAAAAAAAAAATTTTTACCAAAAAACATTCACAAAAGTGTTTCGCGACGAGACACCAATGTGTTACTGCAACTATTAATGTCGTTACAATATGATTTTTTTTCAGATTAGCCCCTTGTCTCTCTTTCAGACGAAAGGCTGACGCTCAAAACGTCCGCTCCAGAAACTCTCTACGGTGGCCAATTTACATAATTAATTCAGTTAATTAATCCAAATTACCTTGAAGTATTCCCCACAGACGCGGCACCACACCCTCTTTAAGAAATCCCCCCCCAACTTTTAGAGTAGTCTAATTGCTCGAAGAGTGGTGCGTGCTATAGCGACCAATGATTACGTCATATTTTGTTCCAATCCTTCCGCGCGAGGTTATGATTATCATGCTGAAGATTGTGATTTCTACAAAAAACTCACCTTCATACTTGCAAGGTAACTCATTCCACGAGCAACTTGCCAAGCAAATGACATCAGGTCACGACTCGTCAAAGACATACTATTACCCGCCATGTTGGCGTAAACAACGCTTCCATGACTGGAAATAAGGAAATCTTTCAAATTCCCCAAGGAGCAGTACTCAACAATAATGAAAGGCTTATCTGTTTGAAAAAAAAAAAAAAAACAAATCCATCCTTTAGTTCCCTCCTGCAAGTTTATCTGCGTTAAGAAACTGAACTAGATCCACAAACTACATTCATGGAGATCTAGGTTTCTTGTCGTTGACAATAAAATATGCGGATGGCGACGCCATTCCTTCGCAAGCTACTCCGACCAGCAACTACTTTCTTTTACCATTCAAAGCATCTCATTAGCAAGGAAGGCAGCGCCAGTAAAAGTTTTCCAACTGATCACAAAGTTAAGGAAGGCAAAGCTAAACTGCTTAGTTTGACAAGCGCTTCGCGATGGTGCAGGTTCGTTCTATCTTGTCAGAGTAACTCCCTTCTTTCTTCTAAGACAAAAAAAAATTGTTTTCTCAACAAACAAAATCCAGGTGCAAGTCAACACAGATTAATTCTCCCTATCATGTTTCCTTGGTTGCTTTTCAGCTTTAAAAACTCCACTCACCTGATTTAGTGCAACAACCAACCAAACCAACAATGTTCGGATGAGAAGCCATAGGTTTCATAAGCTCCAGCTCATCTAGAAACTCTTTCCTCTGCTGCTGGTCAGCATTTTCTGTCAGAGATAAAATGCCACGAATCAGTGAGCTTGCAGAGGCAGTGTCTTATTATGAAGGTTAGAAAGTTGCAAGTACCTGATCATTCACCGAACCATCGTGTTTGATTTGGGATCAGAGAAGACAGAATGAAAACGGGTTAAGATGGCGGCCGAACTTTTCATGCACTATCGCTTGCCAAATTCAGAAAAATAGTGTTCTTTTCAATTTAAGAAAACTAACTGGAATTCTGAAATTAATCATGCTACCAGGCGCCCTTGGCGTATGGAATATACTACTATAAGAGCATTTTTGGTAGAAGAACATTATTTTTTGGAGTAATTAAAAAATGACACCCGTCGTTGCTGTTAACGGTTTTAGCGCGTTTTAGAACCTCACGATGAAGAGAAACGTATCAAGAAAAACATGATAACATCTCAGTGCTTAGAGCGCTTTTCGATTAACTCTGGTCAAACCAAAACCAAAGTAGTCACGACCAATCAGAAGAAAGAAAAAGACCTTTAAGAGCCAATGAGAATTCAAAGAAAAACCAACCTAGCAATCTGCCAAAAGCGCAGGAAAACGAGGGCGACTAAAGTCGTGATTGGTTTTACCTTGCATCTGATTGGTCGATAGAGTGGCGCGAGTTTTCTGGACCACTCACGGTACAAATTAAAGAAAAAACAAAGCCAGCCTGAATTATTTTCGACCCTCACTTAAAAATTGCCCGAAAACGGCAAAGCTTGTGCAGATTATTTGAGAGCAAGGTCGAAGCGTAAACAAGCACACAAACCTTTAAGCATCTTAACAGCCACAACTTGAATGCCTTGTTTCGTCTTTAAATAACCCTTCATGACTTGTCCAAAGTGACCTGAACCCAGTTTCTTATCAAGGCTTACGTTCCTTTTGGGTACCTCCCACTGCTTTGGTCGAGGTATGGATGCATACTCACTACCAGCAGCCATAGCGGCTGCCGCATCAGGTCTGATGGAAACATAGGAATATGTGTCACACCTCTGAGCTGAAGGAGCTGGGCCTCCGTTGGGATCCGCGTATGTGTATGGCTCGTCTCCCTAAGTCGAGAGTAATGCGCATGATTTTTTAGAGCGCCTTTCGATTGAGCTTACACACCAAAACTAACGTAACTTCGATGGAAAGAAGAAAAAGGTAGATATCACGCGATTTACCTATGCCTAAAAGCGGTTTGTTTATTTCCTAGCCCTTCACTTAATCAAAAGTCCTCAGCATTGGCTGTCGAAAAGGTTATTCAAGGGGATTTAGGGAACCAGGCTGAGTGGAAAAGGAGGAAGGAATTGACGGAGTCTTGACCTTCCTCAAGCAACAACAACGACAAATATTTTATTCCCAGCAAAAGGGAGGTGTTACAGTCTTTCCAATGATCACAGAGGGTAGAAAAGTAAAATTATGTGGTTCTTAGTCCAATTATCAACATTTGCGATTTTAATATCTTTAGAGCAAAGCAAGTTAAAGCGGATTTTTAAGTAGTCCAGAACTTAGGAGCAGACGCTTTTGAAGCAAATGGCACCGCGCACTTAAGCGCAGCCAATGCATTGCAAATATATGTCCTGAAAGCCCAATGGTTCATTGCTACTGGAACTCATCGCAGCTTTGTGCAGCAGGAATCGACTGGGGTTTCGCTACCTCTCCTGAAAAGGATACTAAACCATCGCATCAAGTTTCCTGCACAGTTCACCTGTACATATTTATTCCCTTGGGTAGAGAAAGACACCCTCTGCAGAACACAACGACTCGGATTGCTCTCGAACCCAGACCCCCTCCAGCGCGCTGACCGCTAGGTCACCGTGTGTTCCTAAGAAGAACTTCATATCTATTAAGTATAGTTACGTACCACCACAGTGTAGTGAACAGCTGGGAGAGGCTGAGCAGGTCCTTTCTTCTTCTTGTTTTTACGGCACATGATCAGCACCACCGCTATAACCAAAAGTACACCACACACCCCTCCAATGACTCCACCCAATATGGCGCCTGTTGATGAACCTTCGTCTTTACGCTCTTGCGGACCGCTTTCTTCCCCTGACAAATAAAGTTCACTGTGGTTAGAGTTTGAAATGGCCTAGAGTGCGCCAAAAAGACTGAGAAAGGTACATCTTAAGAAAACGTGGTGTTGTGTAGGTGGGGATATCAAAAGATAGTTTGGTTTTATCAAGTGAGTTCATGATATGAATATGCCACCGTGGAGAGATTCTGAAATTGACCTTTCGAGCGGTCGCCTTTCGTCAGAGCAAATCCAAACATGGAGGCTTGCTAGTTAGCTAAACAAAACAGCTCCCTCGCCTCGTTCAATATCAGAGCAATGTCATGCAAAGAGGTGGTAATAACAATGACAAACATCTATAAGGTATTACTTGATTTCAAAACATATTCTCACAACTTAAATTACAACAATTGAAAGGAAAACAATGGGGAGAATTGGCATAAAGATCTTGGTATTATTCCTCTAACTCCCCAAAACTGATTTTTAATCCTCCACTCCAGCTGTTACAGTCTTCCTTGTAAATTAGTTTCAAGAATTTGGTGTTCGATCAAAACGACAACTTCGACCTGATAATTTTACGTGTTCTCGTGAATGCTTTGCTGGATACTGTATGCAGATCACAGGGAGAAGTTACATGTTAATCACTTCTGTAGTTTTAGGGTTGAAAGATTAAATGAAGCAAACATGTACCTTTAAAGTTTACTGAAACTTCACTGGATTCACTGGATCCAAACTGATTGACAGCTAGCACACTGAAGAAGAATACACCGCTCCAACTCTCTTCCTTATTCAACACGGTACTTGTCACATTTCCGAATATTTGATCAGAACTTGTCCACACAGCTGAGCCATTGATCTTGTACCTTACAGTGAAGTTGGACTCAGCTCCACCGTTATGTCCAGGGTGCCATGATACCAGCACAGTTTGGAAAGATGTTTGTTTGACTGTGACATTAGAGGGTGCTTCAGGAACTCCTTTGTGGAAATAAAAAAAAAAAAAATTTTCTTTTGAGTCTGGACCTCCTTGGTCAACTAAAATTGTTTAATATAGCTTCACTGGGCAGATCTTGGGCATTCAATTAGCCCTTTAACTTCCTTTATTTTTATCTTTTTTGTTCACTGGTTTTGGATAAAACTTAAAAACCACTCCAAGTCCAGCAAGGAGTTACTATTATTTTTTTTTTTGTCCCAAACCTTTCCAAGCACATCCACTCATACAATAATGCACAAAGAGAGCATGCATTACTTTGGATTTTGCAAGCTGATACAAATTTTAAACTCACAAAACTTCTGGCTAAAAATTCATGTTCAGAGGTCAGATATTTTCTCTCTTTTTAGAGCCTTTCTGGGTCAAGGCCCTACCTGTGCCTTTCAAAATTTTCTTTCATCCACAGACAGCCCTTATTAACAGTAAATTCATTTATATTCATTGCCAAAAAAATTGCCAGCTAGACAAGAAAGGGGATGTTGACCTAAGGAGAGCATATTCAAGAGCTTAACTTCCAAATAATGAACCTTGAAAATTTATTGATGGATGACAGTTAATTAATAGCTAGTAAGGTGAAGTCTTTGAAAGCAGGTTGATCACCTTGGGATGTAGTGCAAATTTACTTAACTACCTTTGACAGCCAAAGTTATATTTGCTGAACTAGTTCCAAAGTGGTTTTGAGCACTACAGGTGTAAACCCCAGTTTGACTGTATTGCACCAAAGTCATCCGAAGTTTGACCCTGTATGTGCCATTAGCATGTAGCTGAATGGTTCCAGGATCTTCTAGCTGATTTCCATCTTTGTACCATGTGACATCTGGTTCAGCTTCACTCATTATGAAGAATTGTAGAGTGATGTTTGAATCCTTCCTGGTCTCTTTATACATTTGCAATGATTTGACCTCAGGTACTCTTCCATCTACAGAAAATAACAACAAAAACATATTTAATGCTGTTTAAATAGTACATCTTCTGTCAACTATGCCCCAATCATTGGACACACTGGAAAAGTTTCAACATAAACTAAAAAGATATCTGTGTGGGCCATAAATCCATGTGGAAAATATGAGGTTCTCAAACATATGGTAGGAACAACGAATAGACCACTTTCATAAATGGCTGCCGTATAAATATTCTTTTGTTTAAATTTAAATTAGCCCTTCTGGCCTCGCTTGAGATAATGTATTCTTTTGAATTTTGTACTGGCCAGTAGGGCTAATTTAAATTTAAACAAAAGAATGTTAATCCGGCTGCCATTTATGAAAGTGGTCTCTACAAGGTTACTGGTAACATTTAGAGAATTACTATATCTCCTGGTTCAAATAAAGGGGTAAGATTTCGATTCAAAAAATATTTTTGAATTTAGTGAGGCATAAAATGAAATTTGGCTTGTTAAATTGACCAAACAAATCCCACATACTAACTGAGAAAGACATAATGGTTAATGCTCTTGTGATGAGGAATAAAACATACCTCCAACAAACAATGTTATGCTCCCCTCTGCTGTTTCTGCCACACCACTTATTGAGCAAACAAAATGACCTGAAACTGATCTTGTGACACTCCTTAATTCTAGAATAGCTTCAAATCTTGTTCCTACACCTCGGATAAATTGAAATCCAACATCTGTGACTTTCCTTCCATCTTTGTACCAAATTACTTCTGGTATTGGGCTTCCACTAAAGAGGCACTTCAACTCAACATCAGACCCAACTTCAGCAACTACTGCTGGTCTTGATACTTCGACTTTCAAAGGGATGATAGAACCTTTAAAAAAAAAAAAAAAAAGAAAAGAAACATGGATACCCAATCGACACAAGAAAGACAGTCTTTAATAAAAAGAGGGGAAATTAAATGTTTGAAGAGCACAAGTTGTGTCCAAAAAGAAATTTTTATGGCAGTCATTTTTGTACAGAGATACCATCAATTGAAAATATTCTAAAAAAAAAAAACCTACAACAACTTTACTTTAACCTGGAAATAGTCCAATTCACAGTTGGGTGCTCAGTTGCCAAGCCTTTGAACAGGAGTGAGGCTAAGGGTGACCTTGTTATGCTTTTCAATTGTAAAGTACTTTAATTGTTATCATGCTAATTACAGATACCGGCCTCTATCAAAACAATGTCACTGTCAGCTTCACTCCAAATAGGAGGCTAGGCAATCAAGTACACAACTGTAACATGGCCTATTATGCATGCTGGGGACTATTATTGCAATGGCGCTTGAAGCAATGTGAATGAGTACAGATGCAAATTATACTTTTCCTTACAATGGAATGGGTGCATGTATGGAAAACTTCTTTAAGTGAAAAAGTATACACAAAAATATACACAGGCATGTCACATTTAAGAAGAACGTACAAGTGTACATGCACGTTCTTTTAGACTTCAAGGTAAATTTGTAAAATATGAGAAAATCAAGGAACAGGGTTTCTTCCAGATGTAAACACCTAACAGTAATTAATGGTTCTTTTCCTTTGTGACTTTAATGTCAGGGAGATGGCAAAATACAAAAATGCAGAGCCCTACTCCAAGGAGTACCCTATGGTGCACCTAAATGGAGTACACCTAAAAATCGTGAATTGGTCGAAAAAAAAAAGTTTTAAACATGGTGAATTATTTAGATTTACATATCCTAAAATATTTTGAGCTTGTCAGTTCTCCAAATGTCACAGCTTAATATTTCAAGACGGTGGTCAATTTGTGGACAACATCGAACTGTGACAATTGGAGAGCTGGCAAGTTCAAAATCAGTACATTTTGGAATATGCAAATCTAAACGATTCACCATCTTTATATACTAGTATTTTATTTGAGCAATACATGATTTTTAGGGGTACTCCATTTAGGTAATCCATAGGGTACTCCACGGAGTTGGGCTCCACATTTTGTCACCTCACTATTAATAGTAAGTGTCCTTGAAGTGTGTAGTATGTAGTTTCTGTTTTTCATTTTTTCATTTAGCCTGAAGACAGGCTCTCCAAACATTTTATTGAAATCAGGTTCCATCAAAACCAGCAGCTGTTTACATTCAATGAAATCCTAAAAACATCTCACATCTTACAGACTGAAGCAGTTCATGCAAACACACAAACAGATTACTTACTAGAAAAATGAACTCTGGCTTTCTTGCTTTTTACAAATCCTTGGGAATTAGTCACTATACAAGGATATCTCCCCATATGACGACGTTGAACTCCAACAATTTTCAATTTAAATATCTTAACATTGTGCCATGTTGTGTTTGTTAAGGAGAATGAGCTGTCCTCCCTTAAATCACTGCCATTCCGAGTCCATTTGACCGAGAATGACGTGCTACTGCCAACAACACCACAAGATAATGCTACAATCCCTCCGATAGCCGTTGGGACATCCTCCGGTTGCATAACAATTGATGGATCTTTAATAAAAAACGGTGATTAATATGTAAGTCTATTAGGGAAGGAGAAAAATTAATATTATTCTTTTGACACCCTTAGACTGACTAGCATCTGATTCTTCCTTAAAGTATCAATTCCAAATCACATATTGATTAATGTCACAAAAATAAGGAGATTATGATCATCGACTCAAAAAGCTCTTGATTCTTACACCAAAATTTTCCTTGTCGGTGCTTTAGGAAATGTGTAGAGAACAGTATATGAAGAATATGCCCACTGATGTTATGGTGAAAAGGATTAAATCCAAGGTCCCAGGTTCCTTTCAAGCTGCTCAGTTCCATAACCATTCAACAGGACATATGAATTTAATTTTCATCCAAATTAGTCTTGATAACACTGGACTGAATGTCACATTTGAATCTTGAACAGTGTGCACGACGACCTCAAGGTTGTATTTGGTAAACTTTCAAACTTTGGAATTCTTTGTGACATCTTAGACTACAATCTTTAGTGGCACTACAAGGTTTTTGGAAAAGTACTTCCACTGTTATAAATTAAATTACATACCTGAGACCACTTCAACATAGAGTGAAGAAGTAATAGTTCCATTGAAATTAGATGCTGTACATGTGTACCATCCAGTGTGGGAATACTTTGCAGGGGAAAACACTAAATTCTTTCCTATAGCTACAGGATTAGAGGAAACCACAAGATGTCCATTGTGTGACCAAGAGCATCCTGGCTCAGGGTATCCAATTGCATCACATGGCAAGGTGTATTCTTGGCCTTTATACAATGTCACATTTTGTGGCTTGTTTTTCCAAATGGGTGCACTAACTGGATGGGAGAGAGAGAAAAAAATTGATTAATCTTTTTTGGTTAAAATACATGTAAACCCATTAAATTCATTTTGATATCACTGGTAATCTTTACAGTCTGAGTGACTCTCAGCAGTGTGAATTATTCCTGAGTCTGCACTAAATAGCAACTTTTTCCCAGCCAGTGAGAAAGCAACACCAAAACAAAGCAACCAATCAGATTTCAAGGCATGTTTATAATAACCAATCAAATTGCAGGAAATTGAAAGTCAATGAGAAAAAGGTACAAGATTGTGTAGCAAATTGTGCAACTCTTTTCCCTTTTTAAGGTGAGAAGGAAGGGACCACCTGGCTGAACAGCAAACTAAAAATTCAAAACTGTTGCCGAGTGAATTTGGAGAGTTTATTTACCTGTTACTATGCTAATGTAAAAATTAGCTTCAGCTCTTCCATGTATATTCTGGGCTACACAGCCATATTTTCCAGCATCTGACCATAGTAAGGGGTAGATATAGAGTTTTGGAGCGATAATAACATGTCTGAAACCATGTCTAATCACAGTCTCTCCACTGCCAGTGTATCTCACCCACTTCACAGTGGGTCTCGGTGTGCCAGTTGCAGTGCACGTTATAACTGCTCTGGAATATAACTCAGCTGTTATATTCTTTGGTTTTACTATGAAGTTTGGTGTCAAACTCTCTATGAATGAAAAAAAAAACAAAAACAAAAAATCAGTTATCAGTGCGTGATGTGTTTCAATATACTGTTAACATTCTTCATTTGGTAATCCCTGTTTCTGTGATAGCTCCTTTACGAGGCATACAATACATAACTTCTGACGTTGCTTTGTTGCATGGGTCACACTACCAACTGAGATTCCCGGAAAGATTTCCGTATAACCCCATACCAATCAAAAACAAAGCCGAAGTCCCAAAGGTAATCTATTGTTTTGCTTCTGTTTTCTTGTATGGAGAATGAAGTATGGGGTTCTACGGAAATCTTGTCAGGTTTCCTCATAAAAAGGTTTTTGAGATCAAAGACCTGGCTGGGGATTAAGCATTAACATTACAGAGGAGCAGGCATACTCGGGATCGTAGATATTAACTGGACACAGCATCGAGGAGGTCTAGTGACCTTCTTAAAGCTTAGATATATGGATTGATGACAAATTATCTTTAAAGGTGAATTACCCCAATTGACTCTTCATTCACATCAATTTTTTATTTATCTGCATTCTGGCGTGAAACAATATATGATAATTTGAAAAACGTAAGATGATTACCTGGGCTTTGTATTTTAAAACATTGCGATGCATGCAAATGTAATTAACTTGGTTGAATGAAACTCGTTTCATGGAACTCCAACAGGCCAAATCGAGTCAAAAG